CACACACACACACACACACACACACACACACACACACACACACACACACACACACGCACGCACAAAAGCACACTCACGCTAGCGTGGTCCCACTCGCACTCCTCCCCCACCCTTGTTGTCCTCACTTAAGGGTCTCCTGACATCACAGCGCGCCCCTGAAGTCTCCTGATCAGAGGACGTGCTCTACCAACGACCTCTACGTCACTTAGAGGACACCATCGTGCAGTGGCGGGAAGAAAGAAAGCCAGCAGACGCCTTAGAAAGGCGCGGGAAAATATTCTTTATATTTCCCTGGAGACTAGGGGGAAAAAGAAGGAGGAAAAAATCCCCAAAACAAAACAAACAAAAACTAATCGGGAAAACCTTTGATTCCATAATATTGACGTCAGCTCCAAAAAAAGAACAGTGTTGACGGTCTATTCGACGGTGTACAGTGCAATGTGTGTTGTATTTGACGACCTACCACAGTACCATTCTGACAATTATTATTGTGTGGCGTCAGTAGCCTAGCTGCTACCGGACCCGTAACCGTGAGATTGTGGGTTTTTGGGGGGTTCGAACGAGTATACCGGAACTATTTTTGGATGCCTTGCTTGGGTTCCAGCCTCAACTCATTCCGATGTTGTGTCCTTGGGAAAGACACTTGACACAAATGTCCTGTTTAATTTGGTTGGGGCCTTTAGGAGATGGACTTTACACTTGGAACAAACAAAACAACAACCCATAGATATAATTTGTTGCCCTAAGCAGAGAGTTTACAGTTGAGTAACAAATATTATAGTAAAACTTTCTGCTCTGAGCTGAGATGTTTACGTCAGAACGCCATTGCATAGAGTCTTCCTGGTCTCCAGGCCTCCTACACACCATCGACCTCTATGGCGTCACGTAGAGGACACAGGCCTGGGCCCAACAGAAAGAAAATTGGCGAACGCCTTGGAAAGCGCGGGAAAATAACATTCCTATCGGGAAAATCTCTGATTACGTACAATTTTACCTTGACCTCTATATACAGGCGGTCAATTTAGCTTAAGATGGTCTCAGGGTTGTATTCTTACTAGTAACTAGCTAATCTAGCCAGAGAAGATCTATAAATTAGTCACTAGCTGTATTAATGCATATACCAAAAAGAGTGAAAGCCAAACTCCCAAATTCTTTGTTTAAAGTTAAAACAAAACAAACACCCCTACCTTGGCTACTTACTTTACGAAAACAAAACATAAAATGTAAAAGCAGAGTAAAGCGGATACATAATATTATATGTGGGATATTGATATTGTCTATCTATCTATCTATCTATCTATCTATCTATCTATCTATCTATCTATCTATATATCTCTATCTATCTATCTATCTGTTTGGATATATATATATATATA